TTACTTAAAGATCAATAAGAATTTGTTGTTCATAATTTTTACCGATGTTGGCTGTTAATTAAAAAAAAACGATTAAATTAGATTTATTTTTAAGAATAAAATAAAATAAATAAATACATTAATTGTTAACTGTTTACCTTAAGGAAGCTTATTTTAAATGAAACAAATATGGTAATATGTTATAGTTGCCTTAAATGAAATGTTACGAATGCGTATCATTGTGATTGTTAATGTTACGTATTAAAAAATATTTTCAATTTTTCTGTTAGCTTAAATGAGATGGTTAAATTAGATATATGAGACGATTATGATTAATTCAATGATCAAATTTACGATTTTTGTGGCTATATCAGCATGGAAAATACGTCATAAATACCGCCGTTTGAAAAATATATTGATGTAAGTGGCTATATTTTTTGAACATCGCTTTTGCTCTTTTGGTTAATTTAAAAAGATATATTAAACGCGGTATTGATCATAACTTTGCCTACGATATTACGGTTTTGTTTACATATTTTTAATACAGTGTGGGCCGTATTGGTGTGGGGATTAATCTACTCTGTGTGTGTTATGTGTGTGTGTATTGGTGTTAAGTAATGCGAAGTCGCCTGTATGGTGTAAGATGAATGATTGCGTGTGCATCTTGTGGTAAGTGGGTGTCCTACTTGTGTTTGGGGTATGGGAGGTGTGGTGTGCATACAATAATGGGCTGTGGGGGTAACATGGTGTTGGGTTATGTTCTCGAGTAATGTTAATGTGTCGTGAGAGTTGGTGTGGGGTTTGGTTTCAAGTTCATGGTGTCATGCGGATTGGGATGCGTTTGGGAAAGTGTCATTTTTGGGAATTAGTCCCTTTCGGGCAAGTGTCCATTCGGGCGTTTGTTGCATTGGAGTAAATGTCCATTTGGGAAAACGGCATTCGGGCAAATGACATAAGGGTAAGTGTTTTTCAGGAAAATGTCCTGTTCCCGTTAAAAAAAAACAATGAACTTAAAAAATAAATGTGAATACAATGCCATCTATACCTTTCTTAAAACCGGTGAAGTTTCCTTTTTTACAAATAAAAGGTAATTTGTCGTCACAGGAACGAAATCCAATGAAAAACCCTGTGGGACACATACATATTTGCATCTTTTTTCTAATAAAGTGAATGTATAACGTGTGTTTGAAACAGAAACCCACAGTGTATAGGTATTTTAAATCACTTGAATATATAATAAAATAATAATATTTATTTCATAGGTGTACACATACATTTTAGAAAAAAAAAATTTGACCTATCACTTATATCAATTATTTACATTCGATCTAAATAAAAAAAATTATGTAATCGAAAAAAAAAAAAACAACAAGACATTGCATTATATGGATCAAATGTAATTTTTTTGTAATCTGAATGTACTTCATTTAGAGTTAATAGTTTGAGTGATAAGTCGTAAAGCAGGCGTCTTTTAGCTATACGTACAAGAAAACTTCTAATTAACTTACTTCTGTTATCACCGATTGCATCGAAATGATAAACGCCGTCTTCTGAAAATGACGGTGTTAAAAATATAAAACTGTTTAAAAATATTTTTAAGAACAATTATTATTGTACACAGATTTACAATTTTTAAGCACATCATGAGAGTGTTTCTAAAGGCGTTGGTTTACACGATCAGCTTACACAATCATCGAACTGTTCCTATAAAAATACTCCATATCATAAGGCATACGTCATTTCAACGCTAATAGCTAGTCTCAACATTGAAATTTATGTTTAATTCATTCTTATATATATATATATATATATATATATATATATATATATATATATATATATATATATATATATATATATATATATATATATATATATATATATATATATATATATATATATATATATATATATATAAAGTATTTTAAACATCACTATTACTACATTTTTTTTTATAAATCAAAACACTATTATACAGTTAAACTTAGATTCATTTTATTTTAATGACATGAAATTACCAATAGTATTTTATTCTCACCTTCACCAGATCCCTCAGAATGTAGAAAAACATAGCAATAGCCAGGATTCCCGCTTGATCTGAGAATATATAGTCTGTCTACATATTCACACACACCCACACACACACACACACATATATATATATATATATATATATATATATATATATATATATATGTGCACGAACGCATCCTAAACCACATGGCACCAATATTCATTGTGTTTACTTATATATATATATAGGTTAAGCTTACTTAGGTGCATTTGTAAAATTTACCCCCACTTTACGAAATCCTGGTATTAAAATTGTATCGAAATTCCCGAAAACTATCCAAGATTATGGCGTTAAAATATTCTATTCGATTTAGATATATTATTCAGAACCTACCTTTTTACCCATGTTGTTTCTGAAATCTAAATGAAAAAATTTAATTTAGAGACGAACATGTCGGTCATAAATTCATTTTACATTGTGTAAACTAAAAAGATATTTTTTTTTGAAATAGGACAAATGTGAATGGTCTTAAAATAATAATGAATCAGGCAAAACATCCCCAAACCAGGAAGACATTTTACATATACTGCATACATGCAGTATATTAGAATATTTTTCATACTTTCAGTACATCACTGTCAAAACAAGACACATTCATTACTTTAACGACATTAAAAACATTATATATATATATATATATATATATATATATATATATATATATATATATATATATATATATATATATATATATATATTTTTATCTTTCACACTTTATTATTCGAAACATAAATACAAGCGCTTGGTTACATAATGAAATGTGCTTAAGCCTTGAAAAAAATATATATTAATAACACTTAACAAAATATATTTACACAGCACTATTATTAAAGACGAGACACAATCATTAAATAACATTACAATAACAGCAGCTTTAAAAAAATCATCAACTCACCTGACTGTATAACATTCCCATCTCTATTTTATCGCCGTAAGCTACCATGTTGGCCCCATAGCTAGAGCATTTTTCTATAGCCCCGTTCCAGTTTACATAGGGCTCGAGTCCATCGCTAAAGTAGTAGCGAGCACCTTCATACTCAAACCAAGGATCGTTTTCATCTGATAAAAAGAACGAGCCGACCCGCAGCGTATCATACGCCGCTATTTAGTTGTTTTATTTTTTACTTTTCAGTAATTCATAATTTGTGAATTCGACAGTACCAATGCTGCCACTGAAAATATTTGTTTTAAAACACTAACCCCCCCCCCCCTCCTTTCCCCTAACCCCGACTCTACACCCCCCCCCCGTGAAAGCAGCCTCCTCTTAGTTATTTCTTAGTTACCTCCTGTAAGTTTAAAATCGAACTAAATTATCTGCCCCTAATAGAAACCCTGCTCTACGGCTCTATGATTTGTAATAATTTAGCTTTGTAAACATTTAGAGTGAACACCGCTCACCAGACAATGTGGGGGTGGGGTGGGGGTGGTAATGATAGTAATAGAGAGAGAGAGAGAGAGGGGACTGCAAGGAGGCGCTTGCAGCTTGTTTTCTAACGGGTCCCAGAAGAGAATTATATATATAGATGATTTAAAAACAAAGACAATCTGGAGGATGGCTAGTTTACCTGTGTATTGGGTAATATGATAATTTATGTTAATTTCTTCGCAGTTTCGGAATGTATAACTAAACAGCTTTATCTTGAGCTTAAAGTCTTGATTGTACAGTGCACATTATATATATTTATAAATATAATATATATATATATATATATATATATATATATATATATATATATATATATATATATATATATATATATATAATATGTTTTTTTAAAATTATATTAGGACAATTTGAAACTGATATACTGAGTGTAGAGAGAATGCGTATATGCGATATCGGATAGCAAGGTCTTTCAAGAAACGTGTATGTTAGGTTGTTAGTAGTTACGTTATCTCAGGTCTTAGTTTTATGGATGTAAATCAGAGTTAGGCAAATAGTTGCACAAATGTTCTTGTTTATGTTAGCAATTACATAAACAAAACGTAAGTGTATTTAGCTAAGTACCAACAACCCTAAACCAATATTTTAAGAATATTTAACTACTGTGTCATTAGTTGGCGTATTAATATACATGTAACATTTTAATAAAACATACCCGTTTTACTGAAACAGTATACATACATGGTTAAACATAATATGTATATAAACTTGAGAACACGTTCGGTCGCCATTGCTATCTAGTTGTTTATGCCCACTTGTTACACAATGAAAATGTGCAGGCCTATTGAAAGAAGCGGTCACGTGATACGCCCTACTCGGAAACAGTGGTCTGGGTCAAGTTGAGGTTGAGTAATTGGGTTAACATCCGCAACACATAAACAAATTTAGATCTGGGTTTTTAACTTCTTTAATATGAGTTGTTCTTCTTGTGTATTATCTTGATTGTGTGTTTGTGAGAAAAGTACTTGTGTACACACTCAGACTTAATAGATAGTTATAAATATGTTAAGTAGCTAAGGGATCATCCATAAATGACGTCAAGCTTTTCTGGACGATTTTTACCTCCCCCTCCCCTCCGTCACACATCGTTACAAAAAGCCAGCCCTCCCCCTAAAATGACGTCACACCTCAGCCGACAACACCCTGAATTTTTTTTTTAAACAACGATATTTTTTCAAAAAATCTTCTCTGAACTCTGTCAAAATAGAGTATTGTAATCAATTCCTATTACAATTTATTAAAACAGTTTTCTAAAACGTGAAATAACGTCTAAAATTAGCTTTCTAACATTGCTTTTTTATAATGCAAAAGTGTGACGTTGCACCATCTGAATCCCCCTTCCCCTCATCAAACATCGTCACAAAATTACGGACCCCTCCTCATCCTACGAGTGTGACGTCATTTATAGACGACCCCTAAACAACTAAGAACCAATCAAATGAATCAATCCAATTGATGTCCGGTTGTCATATGGTAAAGTAAATAAAACAGGGTATATGTCTTGTTTTTGTTAAACTGATTTTTAACGAATATTTTGCTGTTTTGAAAATTCCAAAACCTCAAGGACATATTTGGTTATGACTTTGGCTATATTTCAACCTCTAAGACGAAACGGAGTTATAAATTAGCATTTTAAATCCCACCAGCTTTAGCGTTGTCCGATGTTATAAAACACATGTTTTCAAATCATGCAACAGTATGTGATTTATAGCCTACTTGCTAATGCATGATAATGACGTCATTTCAGTCTGCATTATGCTGATATCGAATTATACGTTCCATTTTTGTCTTTGCGTGCGCGTGAGTTAAAGTCAGTTGGTAAAGTAGAGATGGACATGGACAACTAATGCGAGGTTTGCAGACTTTAAACTCGAACCTAGTTAAGGATTTCTGCTATCAAGCTTCAAATACCCGGGGGTTCCAACTCGGTACATCTGGGCATAGCAGCAATGAGCTTTACCCATCTGACCAAGCCGATTTCATGGTTGAAACGGAAATGGCGTTTATCAGACAAATACATTTGTATACGTTTTATAAGTAGGTTAAAAGCGTGGGAGTCAGCCCACTTTATCAAACAAAACAAAGATTTGTTTCATAGCCAGAACAAAACACTTCACGTGGAGACAACATACGTTTTACAACTTTATTGCCACTTGTCTAGATTTCATGATCTTCAATTGTCGACATTAAGAATACAAAAGCAACACGCTATATATATACCATAGTGAGCATCGATTAATAAATAATTAGTTGCAATTAAGTTTACCAATTGCATTATACTTAAAAAACAGAAATATTTTACGTTACACATTTAACTGGATACTTTTATTAAATCCATTAACGACCTTATAACAACAACAGCAACAGGTAAACTTGGAAAATAAATATCAGTCTTTACAAGTTTGCTAATTATTTTTTAAATTAAGTAAAATTTATTTTCAAAAAACTTTAACATATGATTCATGGCAACTAAATTCCATTTCATATGATATGAAATGGAATTTAGTTGCCATAAGCCATTGTGTTTTGTAAAAAAAATACAATTTCAATATCATTTTAGCATAGTGCTTTTTAAGGATGTGTTTAAATGAAGTTGTTCAAGATAAAATATACGTAATATTATGTCCTTCATATATAAATCAAACGATATATATTTATGCACACACCCACAAACACTAACACACCCATATAAATATAAATATATATATATATATATATATATATATATATATATATATATATATATATATATATATATATATATATATATATATATATATATACATATATATATACATATATATATATATATATATATATATATATATATATATATATATATATATATATATATATACATCAATATATTGTAGACGCATAGTAATGTTTAGTGTTCCTCCATTAGTTTTGTAAAACGTGAGTTAATATATAATCGTCCAGTTAAAATTGTCCTTCTTCGCTTATAGACAATAACAGCCAGCAATCCTACGATAATAGCTGTTGCTAGGACACCGCCCACTATCGCGACAATAAGCATATCTGTAGATAGAGGACACAATTTATGAATATATATATATATATATATATATATATATATATATATATATATATATATATATATATATAATAATTTGGTATATTTATATAACTCTAAACGCCAGTGAAATTATTTTCTTGAGAAAATTAGACAAGTTTAAACTAAATAAATGACTTATGCATTTTTTTTCAAGCTTCGAGCTTATTTTGTTATTTGCCTAGTGACAAATACAACTGTAATTACGGTAAGTTACGGCATTGTATAGCCACGATATCTATAAAATATCTCCCGAAATCAAATTGAAATTTAAAAAAAAAAACAAGATTTTTTTTTTATATAAGTTGAAGTTTTTCTTTTCTTACTCCGAAAACAAAACATGTTTTCCGAAGACTATTGATAAGAACATTTTTCGTGCACACAAACCTCAATATAATTTATTTTATTTTTTCAAAAAACTTACTTTTTTTCTCATGATGTTTTTCTCTGAGTTTTCCTGAAAAAAAAGACACTATTCACAATATCACACAACAAATTTAAAACAAGACTCAAAACTGAAGAGGATGAAACCATTATATAGAGCCTATAAACAATATCAATTACAAAATATTTACTGTTTTTCTTTTAATTACGTAAACAAAATGCATTTTTAATGAAGTTACCGTACAAAATATTATTATTCCAATTTAGTACAATTTGTCCCCTAGCAATGTCACGTTACCTACAAAATGTTATTATTCCAATACAGGCTATGACAATGTTACCGATCTTTTCGGCTATTTAGAGCATAGTAAAATGTAACTAAAGTCTTTTGATTGTCTGCTCATCTCTTAAAAACACATTGTATTGTTGTTTCTAACACTATGAATAAACTGCATGGGTTGGCGTCGGTAAACTTTAAGAAAATTTAGCGACATTTGCACCATCTTTTTACAACCCTAATATAACTCAACATAAACGAAAATTTACGTTAGAAATGTAATTGTTGATGGGGTGTTGTTTTTTTTTTTTTTGCGCGGCTCCTGATAAAGTGTGCCTTTGTCCCCACTACTAAGTATACTATAGGAGATACGTGTATTCCTCAATTTAAATACATCAATAATATCCTGTGTACTGAATTGCAATATTTAAAAAAAAAAACAAGTAACTGCCAGAGCCGCTACTATAAAAGCGTACACAATAGGGCTGGTAAGTAGGTCACCAACCAGTTCTATGGCTCAAGCAGGTTTTATTGAGCCGTATAACTGGCTGATTACCTACTTACCAGCCCTATTGTATAACACATACACACAAACCTGTACAAATGAAGTTCCATTTCAGCTTACAATCATGAAACGACAACTGGCCTTTGACGTTGTCGAAAGCGCCACACTCTCTCGTGTGAGTCTCGTTCACATCGCTTACCTCCGCTAACTCCATGGTTAGATTCCAGCTATGATGATCCAAGGATTTTAATTGTCCTGCATTATCAAATATACAGTTTTAGCTTAAAGGCTTCAGATATACAAATGCACGACATAAAAAAAGGATTTTTTAAACAAAATACATATATATACACAAACATATTATATATATATATGCATTTTTGAGGGGGGGGGTTGTAGGCTTAGGTGTGACGTCATTTTAGTGGCGGGGGGGGGCTAGCTTTTGTGACAATGTTTGACGAAGGGGAAGGGGGGTGTTAAAATCTTCCAAAAAAGCGTGACGTCAATTATGGATTATTTCACATGTTGGGACGGAGTGGTCTAGCGGTAGGGCGCTAGACTGCTAATCCATAAGTCTCAAGTTTGAATCCGGGTTCAAGTATCAAGTCAGTAGACCGTCCCTGAGTCCACCCAACTCTGATGGGTTAGGGAAAGTAAAGGCGGCTGGGCATAGTGCTGACCAAACTATCTCTTTATATGCCGAGGTCACAGAAACAAGTGAACTCTACCTCACTTGCCCCATAGATTGTCAGGTTTGAAAGAGAAACTTTACCACATGTCGCTGTCAACATTTTAATTTTCCGAAGTGTTTTTCTATGCTGAAACAAGCAATAATAGAAGCATTATAAAACAACAGTGGTCACATATTTACGTCAGGTGTTTTGAGCTGTTAAATGGACGATGGTTAGAGCACCAGAAGAAGCTGATAATTTAATCACGTTATTTGATTTTTGTCTAATTACAAACCTGTTTTCGTTGTGTACAATCCGACCCATATGTTGCTTATATTCCCGATATGTGTCCTCACAAACTGAAACTCCTCGTATGAGTGGATAATCATTAATCCCATCTTGTGTTTCTTGCAGTAATCTTTCGCATGATGCCAGCTGTAGTAGTGCTCTGAATGAATTTTGTAGCAACGGTCTAAGTATCGAATCTGGTGACCCGGACACTTGTGATGGGTGTGGTGATGGTGTCTTAAGTGGTCTGTCTGATTGGTAGAGTTGTACACTGCCGATGGATGAAAATACTAAATATACCAAAATCTGTATTCATGATTATTTTTAATTTAGTGTTTAATATATTTTTTTAAAAAATAATAAAAACGATGCAATTGTTGATTAGTTATTTTTTGGTCAATTTGTAAACGTTTATGATCATTCAAGTTTTTAAAAATGTGTTATAACAAGATTCACCTGATACTTAACTTGATGTGTTCCTGAAAATCTGATCGTATATATTTATAAACTCACTTTCCTTCACTGGAATCCTGCAGACAAATGGAAGACTGCTGTCACAGCTCGTCCGCTTTACGCTACCCTTAGAGTAACTCTTACATTCTTGATTGAATGAAAAGGGAGACCAATCGTAGGTTTCATCGGTGATCTCTTTATCCTAAAACACGAACAAATCAAAATATGAAATGTGTAAGAATCAACAAGATTAACACAGGAATAGTATTTGTTCTCGGTTTGATATAATCTGTGGAAGCAAATCGAGAAAAAAATCTAAACAAAAAAAGAAGTCTGAAATCGATGATAGCGAGTCGTAAAGTGCATAAAATGCTATCGAGGGTAATATTATTTCCATAAACGTAGAAAATTAAAGACGTGTGGATAACTTGTACAGACAGAGGCGTATCCAGGTTTTCGTTGTAGGGGGAGCGAAAAGAGCAAAAAAGGCGCCGAATTTTCAACACGTTCTATATACGTGTGTATATATATATATATATATATATATATATATATATATATATATATATATATATATATATATAAATATATATATATATATATATATATATATATATAATTACTTGCTGTATGTCATTGCTTCGCTATGATGTAAAAATAAATTGAAAGTAGCACTCTGAAGAAATAAGAAAAAACACACAATGTAGGCCGACAAAACAAAAATTGTATCAATCTAAACAAACAAATATATATATATATATATATATATATATATATATATATATATATATATAAATATATATATATATATATATATATATATATATATATATATATATATATATATACTACAACCAAAACAATGAACGTAACACAATCTATTTTGTAATTCTTGTAAAAAAATTTCTTACATAATAATTCCTGGGAAATTATTTAAGACAAGTGAAATAGGGGAAATAATCACTCTCTTAATATAAATATGTATATATCTACACATTTAATTATAAATGTCAAAACAAATAAATAATTACTCTCGAATATGATGAAATTGTTTAACACTATTCGTGTTTACAAAATGTTTTTGTCTATAATCAAAATTTAATATATATCGTTATCTTAAATGCTAAAGTGTTACAGCATAATGAAAGTTTTTACAATCAGAGTTGGTATAAAACCACGCTTTTCGATATAGTATAAAAACATTCGGAATAACAGCCTACATTTAACTAAACATTGGTCTTTTAGTTCAGATCATATATTTTTAATTAACTACTGCTTCTTTGTGTTCTTTATAAAGATCATTTTTAACATAGTGATAGGTGTGGGTTAGATCACTGTATTGATCACACACCTTTTTACTGGTAATTGCAAAAAAATATTCACAGAGTTTTACGTTTAAAAAGCTAATTTTCTGGCGGCATGGTACTTTGGTACATTTCTACGCGTTTTACTACATGTACTTAACAGATCAGTTCGGGGTGGGTTGGAAGGGGGGGTTCAACTTCATTCACCACTGTACGGCAGAGGCGTAGCGACACATTCCAGCGCCCGGGGCGAACTATCAATTTTTCGTCCTCTCCCCCTTCCATTTATATACAGGCTATATAAAGTTATGCATGCTGGTCCTACCCATTTTGGCGCCCCATTTGGGTTTGCGCCCGGGGCGGCCGCCCCACCCGCCCTCCCATAGCTACGCCTCTGCTGTACGGTCACTTTAGGTTAATTATCCAACCCAGTGAATACCTAGGTGTGACATTAATGTCGCTCTACACAATTGTGGTGGTGAGGTGTGTGTGTGGGGGGGGGGAGATAACCAACTCAGAGTTAACGTAGCGTCAGTTTTTAGATGACTGTTCTAAATATACATATATGTTACACAAATATATATTACATGAATATATATTACAGAAATAGATTTAAATAAGTAGCAGTGGTATTTAAATATTATGACAATATTTTTTGTACAGAGGGGTCCATGGGGGAGGGGGGTTGTAACTGTTTCATATAATTTGTAATCGTAATCACTATCGCCCAAACTGTAAGAATACTACTACTTCATCGTGATGACGTTGTTGACCTTGTCAAAATTTCCCCACCTCTACGCAGTTTGCTCATAAGTAAATTTAAAAATAATAATATTAATAAATATTTTTGGTCGGCACGACCAAAAATATTTTTTTAACAAATATCATTGTTTAAAACGTTGAGTTTAAAAAGTTTCCAAAAAGGCGCCACTGCTGAAAATGGCCAGAGGGGGAGCGGCCGCTCCCCCTGCTCCCCCCCTGCGTACGCTACTGTGTACAGACTACACCTAAACCTGAAATAAAAACCCAAATCATGTACAGCGTTATGAAAAATAAATGAAAACTGTATCAAAAAGTTAATAAAAAGAAGACGATTTCGAAATTACAAGAACTGAAAATAATTTCTCTTAAATTGGTTGTCGCTCAAATGTATTGAAATAAAGTTTGATTGATTAACATTTAAAAAAAAATATTTCTAAGACATAAACTTGTATTTGTTATCCCATTAATCCAGTGTCGCTGTTAAGATTTAAGTACTTTTCATGTGTCATACTCCTTACTAACTTTAAATTTAAAATACTACCTGAGTGTTTATAAAATCAAATGCTTTCCTTTTTCATTAAAACAAATTTTCTAAATACAAACAAGGATTAAGTACATCTTTCCTGTTCGCATCATATTTCTTACTAACTTTAAAATTCAAGTACTTCCTAAGTATTTATTAAAACAAATGCATTATATTTTTGATTTAAACAATTTTCTAAAGATACACAAAAAAGTATCCAATATTTTTGTTCATACCAGAAGACTGGATATTTCCACCCAGATTTCACCGGTAAAATTTCGAGCCTCTAGCTCATAGTCCAGTAATGTGTAATCAACATTATCACTGGCTTGCATCATGAACCCACCGGCAGAAGAGCACACTTTAGAAGCCGCATCGTACGGCAGTGGGGTTTCGATGGTCACAAGACAATCACCGCGGTAGAACAGGTTCATCACGTCACATTTGTAGGTGCGCTGATCCAAATTGTCCAAACTATTGAGCACTTCTGTAATCAAAGCATGATGAGAGTCTTCGTGTGGTGTGTAGATAGTATATCAATACACAAAACGCACACAACATACTAGTGAATTATAGGCCGATATATTTTTACTCTAATGCATATTTGGAAAAAAAAAATTCTAAAATAGTTATTGGTCAAAACGCCATAATCTTTACTACACGTTGAACGATATGAGTGACAATGCAAAGAAATAGCTAAATAGCTAAAAGTCCGATAAATTTAAAATGACATAGGCTACCACAACGTATAACAAAAATTAAAACCAAATAATATATATTATTAGTCAACACAAAACCATATTAAATGCACACAGTGGTTAAGGGACTTAAATGATTCCGTTTAAAAAAACCGGCTGTTCAATAGTCATTATGATGTTTTTAACAGTAATTTGTATTAGTTTGAACGAGAACATTGTATTCATTTCACAGTGAACGTCTTGATAAGCTCATTTATAGAATCTAGATCTACATCTATATCAAATTTAAATGAAATCGTTCAATTTCTTCATATTCTAAAATTGGAAGATAAAGCCATTCGTTTTGTGCTGTTTCCGTAGTTTAAAAATGTATAATATGACGTCATAGTTTATTGTTTTCTTGTCACAACCATACTATAACGCAAACGCTAGTATAAACTCATACAAAAACAAAAATACAACGCAAACACAACGCAATACGCAAACGTGAACACGAACACACAAAAAATACAAAGACAAACACAACACAGACGCAAACAAACGCAAAGACAAATACAAACGCAACACGCAAAAGCAAACATAAATATAAACACAAAAGCAAACGCAGAAGAAAAAAACAAACACAAAAAAACGCGAACTTAAACTTAAACATATATATGCCAAACATTATTAGGGCACTTCAAAATACGAGTAACTTCTTTGTAATATAGCCTATAATATATATATATATATATATATATATATATATATATATATATATATATATATCGGTGTGTGTGTGTGTGGAGAGAGAATGAGATAGAATGAGAAAACTTTTTACTATTTATATAATATAAATATAATACAGTACCTGCAATACTTTGGTTAAAACGAGGTACAATGCCCTTTTTACAAACAAATGGAAATTGTTCTTGACATTTCATTGGAACGACTGAAAATGATTTTGGAAGATATTAGAATAAAGCTATATCTTTCAAAAGTAACTAAAAAAAGATTATATGGCTGAAAGTTAATAATCAGAAATAATTTGTGTATAGCAATAAGAGGTAAATTTTTTTGGTAATCTTACTTCGAAGAATAAATTCTGAATCATCGGAATAGTCATACACTGAAAAATATTAATTTATAAGTATATCAGAACAAAACATTTTATGTTCAATATGATTTAGAACACTAATGGCATATTTTATTATTAATAGTAAAATAGAAAGTGGCAGTATTAGTCTTATAATGCAAATTTTATCTCCATTAAATTTTCTCGTATATTCGTATTATAATAGTATGGAGCATTGCTCTTGCAATGCTATCTAACTATAGACATGTTTTTACTTACATGTTTTAATACTTACTTGTTTTAGTAATATTAAATCTAATAGAAAAATAAACTGTGTGCAATATTATGAGTACTTTATAAATTTACATTTTTTTTTGAGAAATCGGAAATAGCGTAAATTACTACTTTCGTTCAACAGAAATTACTCGAAATTTAACAGAAGGCAGAGAATTAGATCTTTTACTCACATGTGAAATTTCATTTATCTATCTGAAATAGTACTCAAGTTATAGGCTTTTGAAAAATTCAAAGTAGTAAAAGTACCACTTCCGGTTATCATAAATCACTCAAGTTGATACGGATCTACGATTTTGACATAATACTTATATATCAAATTTCATCAACCTTGCTGTAACAGTACTCAAGATATCGTGTTTACACACACACTGACACACACAGACACTCATACACACACACACACACATACGGACAAGTTTACAAATCTATGTTTTTTCCGACTCAGATTTGCAAAAAATCTCGATTTTTTTTCTTTTTTTTTTTCGCACGATTACGAGACTTTCTCTATATTTCGTATATACTAGAAAGTAATAAATATGCGCCTCAAATATGCGCAACTGGGCAGGTGAAGTAGAGTTGACCTGTTTTTGTGACTTCAGCATTTGAAGAGATTGTGTGTTTTTAAAAGACATAAACGTCTGAGGTGCGCCGTCTCTGTGAATGTGGGGTCTGGTTGTTTTGTGATAAGTGACAGACGTGATGTCATTCATGGATGACCCTCGAAACCTACAGTTATATAACTAGATGACGGGTAGTCTAGTCATCAAATAAAGCAACATTTCTACTTCGGTAACCAGAAATAATATTAAAGTGAAACCGAACCTGTATATACAAGGTAATACTTATGGTTTGCAGTTTTATCTACCAAGCTGAAGTTACTCACACGGGAAATTTCTGACAGAAGGCAAGTAGTATACGGATAAGCTCAGGTTACCGGCAATTCGCTCAAACGTTAATTTTAAAAACTAAAAATTTAAAATAATACTTATATATATAATTTGACCAACAGAAATGAAACGGTACTCAAATTATCTTGTTTACAGTAACAAACACACACACACGCCTACGGACAAGATGTGTAAAGGATTATTTCCGCCTCCGGAAAGCCATAAAACGTCAACATGTATAAACATTACGATTTAGAACTCTGCACGATTCCAATGCATCGTTTCTATTAAGTATACGACTCAGATGGGAGGTGAAAAACAACCAAACATATTTTAAATAGGCCAAAATCTTTTTACATCAAACTATGGCTTAGTCTACCTAATTATAATGAATATTTTTATTTGATGCTTACTAAAAGCAGATCCATCCGTGTGTTCAAACACACTGCAACGTGATCCTGGGCTGTGTAACAATATAAAAGTAATATATATATATATATATATATATATATATATATATATATATATATATATATGTATATATATATATATATATATATATATATGTATATATATATATATATATATATATATATATATATATATATATATATATACATATATATATATATATATATATATATATATATATATATATATATATATATATATATATATATATATATATATGTATATATATATATAACGTGTAGATAATTATGTAGGCCCACACATAAACCTAAATTTATCGCTTTTGAATATATTATTTAATTTTGTATGGATCATTCACTTTAAAACCTACTATTTAGCCCACATGGGAATTGAAATCTGAAATAAAAATACATTTATATAATATTTAAAGCCACTAATAAATATATATTTAAGTGAAAAAAAATCCGGATTATTAATAAAAAGACAGAATTAATGGAGAAATGATGATGAAATTAGTTAAAAAAAACATTCATAACTTAACTAAGTAAACAAATAACGGCACATAATACAAATCAAGAGCAACAAGCAGAGCGATGAATGTAGTTAAAAAAACATGTTGATCTAATTGTAAAATCTTAACTATATGATACAGTTTAACGAAACGCGGATCAACTCACATAATCGGATATTATGACCATATTCTCCTTGTCGCTATGTTCCACCACAGAACCACCGTGGCTAGAACATATCTCTATAGCCTCCCTGAAAGTCACGTGCGGTTGGTGCACATCAGTAAAGTAGTGCTCACCCATAACATCAAACCATTTGAAGTCTAAACCAAATAAGGAAAAGGTAAAATTATTGTAATCCAGTTGTTAAATAGTAGTATTTCTCGTGCCAGAAAGATATTTAACAATCAGATGACTATTTAATTTAATTATCTTTCTTTTTCAGTATGAAACAAGTTCTTTCTTTTCTCAGTAGAGAAACTAAATGTTAACACTCTCTCTCACACACACGCACCCGTGAGAAATTGATATTTTTGGTATATACCTGCCCTTGTTTAATCTTATCATCTCACCAAAGTTTATAGCGATTGGATAAAAAGTACAATAATGCATAAAAGTCAAACACATACATATATACTTTCATATATATATATATATATATATATATATATATATATATATATATATATATATATATATATATATATATATATATATATACACTCTGCTTCTAGAACTAAAGAGAACATTCGAAAATAAACCTTTTATTTATGAATATATTCCGTGTAAATAAAAGTTGCGGTGTAAAAATGACATCACGCGTATGTTGATTTCTAGCCTAGCCTTCACGGCAGCGGACATTGTACGATCTACGCATGCGCGAAAGGCGTTAAGGGCATAAAGCGTGTATAAATGCTCGGGAGACTTGCTAATAAAAGCAATTCTCAAGTTTAAAACGGTTTTTATTTTTTTTTCATTTTATTTTAAAATGCAAACCCTTAAATTTTAAACTCAAATTTTGCGAATCCGGAACTTGAAAAAAATACGATTCTCGAATCCGGAAATCCGGGATAAACCGGAAAAGTGTCATATATATATATATATATATATATATATATATATATATATATATATTCATAAATCAATATTTTATGAATAATATAATTATAAGTAGTATAATTCACTACTGACAATGTATAGAGAAGCTGTGATACCTCCGATGTAATTTCATGCAACTTACTATCGTCACTTGAACAGGCTAGAGATAGTGATGAATACATGAATATAAACCTCAGAAGTCGCTCGGTCGACATTGTGATGTGCTGATGTTTGCCTTGAAGACTTACAATAGTAATAGGCAGTCTATTCAAACACCCGGTCACATGACTCCCTCCACTATGAAACAGTTTCCTGTGCGGTGGTGTCGGTTGACTAACTAGGTTAAGCTGACCTACTTCACACAACACGCGTGTTATTAAAACATCTACACGTGTCCGGTTGTGTTGATCTGTTTGTTACAGACTGCTAAGCTGCAGTGGCGTCGCTGAGTTGGGTGTCAACCGATGCGGCACTTCGTGGTGTCAGACCTTTAAAAAAAAATTAAAAATAAAAAATAAAAAAAAAAAAAATATATATATATATATATGTATATATATATATATATATATATACATATATATATATATATATATATATATATATATATATATATGTAACTGGGGTAGGCCTAACTACCAGTTACAAATGATAACGAACGAGAAGCCGCGACGCAGTATGAAATCTGACGCAACCATAACAGGTGGCTTATTGGATCGGTCTGATAACAATCTCAAAGCCAACGCGTGCTATTTTGGGAAACGGTACGAGAAGTTTCAGACGAGCTGTCAACTTTGATGGATGGGACGCAGATGTTTTAGTGAATCGGACGGTACGTCAGAAACTGCGACATTAGTATTCGGATACATCGATTACAAGTATCGATTACGGAAATGGAGACAAGTACGACTACGATTTCAAGGCATAAATAGGAGGGGACGGCAGAACTCTCTCTCTTCCCGTTTCGAGGCTCTTACCTCTTTCATCGCTCGCTTAGATCAGTCAGTCTGTGTGACTATGTCAAGTCGGTTATAGAACGGGTTAGCCGTATTGTGTTAAGAAGGATTATAGACATGTGGATTCAGTTATATAAAGCCTAGTGAAGGACTGTTAGGGGTCAGTTGATTCAGACTATTATTGAGAAGCATTCCTGTTGATTTATTGTGTTATTATGAAGCATTTCTTGATTCATGTAATAAAGGATCAATAGCGAACCTGCATCTTGAGTATCTATACTGTGGTCAATGTTGTCTAGAATGAGTGGTTAAACTCGTTAACACGTGGCACTACAGGCAATTAGGTCTCATTACATGTGGCGTTGCGAGCATGGTAACTGTTGGCTCGTTACAATTGGCGTTGTCGGCAGGATAAATGTTCGCTCGTCACAATTGGCGCTGCGATCAGGATGAATTCAACTAGACTTGCCGTTTAAGGCACCTATAGTCAACCTTGTGCATAACTGTGTTTAGTGTGTGTGTGAATTCGGACATTCAGGAACTGTGAAAATTGAGGAACGAGGAAAAATTTTTCATACACACACGGTAAGAAAGAACTCTTTTTTTTTAGTACTTAAGGAAGAAAATGTCTACTCTGGACGAGAAGCAGACCCATATAGTGGTCCTACCCAGAGAGTCCCATATTAACAAATTTTACGGGGACGGAGATCCAACTTTAACCAACAGGTTCAGTGAAGAGGTCAAAGCGGCCTGGGCCTCGAGACATATGTCACCAGATGAAAGATTAAGACTGCTGATGGGCAGTATAGGTGAAACGGTTAGGGCAGAGGTTAAGTGCCACGATAGGACCGTCCAATCAGATCCAGATAAGGTGCTAGATCTGATTATGGAGACCTTTGGGGAGAGACGGTCGGGAGTGCAACTGCTATCGGGATTCGTGGGCTTAAAGCAGAGAATGGCGGAGAGTGTGATGGAGTACTCACACAGGATGAACAGGGCCTTTGATTTGGTAAAGGGCAAATCACCGGACATTGATGTACGCCTACTGAGGGACCATTTCATCGAGGGGCTAGCAACCCCGATCTTAAGGAGAGAGTTGAAAGAGGAGGTCCACAGAGACCAGCAGTTGACCCTCCTTCAGGTCAGGAACTCAGCGATCCGCAGGTCCGAGGATGAGGACCAATCGAACTGTTCGGTGGACAAAGTCTCTGTGCCTGAACAGAGACAATCCCCACCCACAGGGGCCGACACGATGGAGACCATGATGGCTCAACTGTTGGCCCACCTAGAGAAGGTTGACCAACGCTTGAAGTGGTTGGAAAGCAGGTCAACAGCTGAGAATCAGGAAAAGAACGGTACAAAACGGGGACGGGTTGGACGGCCGCGTCCTGCCAAGCCATCACTCCAATGGACGGCAGACGGTCGACCAATTTGTTTGTCTTGTTCACAACCCGGACATATGGCACGGTACTGTCCGGTGAAACGATCGCCCTCTGTACGGCAGGTCAAGGCTACAGAGCGGCGAGGTAATGACTTAGTAAACAAAATGACAAAGAAACACAGTAAGAAGAAAATTGGTAGACTTAATAAAGGAATTCAAAGTCTAACCAGGAAACTGGATAGGGAAAGTTCATGCAAATTAAAAGCACAGGAGAAATGTTCATCTTTAAAGTGTCTGTTATCGGAAGAAGTAAATAAAAATAGTAGACAACAGAACAGTGTTGGCAAACTAGAAGAAATGAAAGAGTCTCAAACAAGACTTGAAGAGAAATTATCCGATATTGAAAAAGAACTTCAAAGTACAGCAAGGCTGGGATCCATCGAACAGCGATGGGCAGCAGAATTGGCACTCGTTGACCTAGAGAGAAAACATCGCCCGGGGCTGTCCAAGGTCAATGCGGACGCCTTATCAAGGAATCCTTACGAGAGACCGGGTGATGAGGAAGAAACACTGACAGGAATATGTGAGGTCAGAGCGTCAACAGATATCCCTCATGGGGTACAAGTGATGCAAAACGGGCAGACCGGGGTGGAGCACATATCCACAGAGCCCGAACATATGGACAGTAGTGATTTTAATTGCCTTAATCACAAAAAGATAAGAGATGCCCAGAGAACGGATAGTGGCTTACAACCGCTATTGAAATACGTCCAGGAACAAAAATTCCCAGGAAGAAGGGAAAGAGAACAATTTGGTCGAGAAACAAAGAAAATACTGAGTCAGTGGAACCGTCTCAGTATAAAGGATGGTGTTCTCATGCGGAGAATTCATGACCAAATTGATGGCACAATACACCAGGTGGTGGTGCCGGGACAATTACGAGAGGAAGTGCTAAGGTTGGCACATGACAGGGCAGGACACCAAGGTCAGGACAGGACGCACAAAATATTACGACGGAGGTGTTACTGGCCCAATATGGAAATGGAGGTCAAACGCCATTGTGAGGCTTGTGTGAGGTGTCAGCATGCGAAAATGCCAGTTGTCAAAATGAGACAGCCATCAGGACACCTACTGGCGACAAAACCACTAGAGATTGTGGCTATGGACTTTACGTCGTTGGAGCAATCATCGGATGGGACGGAACATGTGTTGGTAATGACTGATGTATTCACCAAATGGACTGTGGCGGTGCCCACACGAGATCAGACTGCCAAAACAGTGGCAAAGGTCTTATTAGAACATTGGTTCATCAAATATGGCATACCAAGACAATTACACTCTGACCAAGGAAGGGCTTTCGAGTCAGAAGTAATTAACCAACTGTGCAGCCACTACGGGATCAACAAATCTAGAACAACCACATTTAATCCGAAGGGAAACGGACAGTGTGAACGGTTCAACCGCAGCATGCATGATTTGCTGCGTACGCTAGAACCTGAACAGAAAAAACGTTGGCCTGATTTTCTCCCAGAGTTGGTATATCTATACAACTGCACACCCCATGCCACAACCGGCTTTACGCCATACATGTTGCTGTTCGGACGAGAGGCTCGACTCCCTCTTGATTTGTTCCTAGGAAAAAGGGAGAGTATGACTGGCTCATACACCGCACTGGAATATGTGAATGAACATATGAGAAGAATTAGAGAAATGTACAGGGTAGTACAGGAAAGACTAGAACATGAATCTCGGCGAAGGGAACCGCCGATACAGACGAAGGACCCGCCACTCAAACTGAATGACAGGGTATTACTGCGTAGCCACCCGTTAGGCAGAAACAAAATCCACGATCTCTGGGGACAGGAGATATGGCAAGTCGTGGAGATGCCTAAAGCAGCAGGTGGCCCCTTTAAGATAAGACCCATCGATCACGCCAAACCGGATCGGTGGGCGAATATTGCTCAATTAAAGAAATATTGGAATAGGCAAGAAGAGCAGTTACACACAGAGAAACCCAAGACAATTAGGGAACCGGAAGTTATAACGGAAATTCACATACCCATTCCGGAACCATATCACCATCAACAGAACAACCGCGATACGCAAGGGGAGGATACCGGCAACAATGAGGATCCCGGTCCCTCCAGAAGCAGAGAGACAGTAGACCATCAGATAAGTGGTCCGCGGAGAAGTTTAAGGAACAGAAGGAATACGAAATTTTTTGTCAGCAACCATCAATTCTTTCATGGTCGCGCTGGTATGAAAACAGACTGTTCAAAGAGCTATAGAAGTGAACTGGTGAAGGCACCAAATGGAAAGGGTGGATGTGAATTCTAGAACTGTTTTGTGTCTCAGGAAGATGATGTAGACACAGTTGATATGTGAAATAGGTATAACTGTCAATCGTATACGAATGGAACGTCGTGGACAGTGAGTGGAACAATAAATTTTTTTTTTACGATGATGCGATGGACATTTAGGAAGTGCACCTGCCAGGCGTTGTTTGTGGTTGAAAACACACAAAAAAAGCAGGGGTGGATGTAACTGGGGTAGGCCTAACTACCAGTTACAAATGATAACGAACGAGAAGCCGCGACGCAGTATGAAATCTGACGCAACCATAACAGGTGGCTTATTGGATCGGTCTGATAACAATCTCAAAGCCAACGCGTGCTATTTTGGGAAACGGTACGAGAAGTTTCAGACGAGCTGTCAACTTTGATGGATGGGACGCAGATGTTTTAGTGAATCGGACGGTACGTCAGAAACTGCGACATTAGTATTCGGATACATCGATTACAAGTATCGATTACGGAAATGGAGACAAGTACGACTACGATTTCAAGGCATAAATAGGAGGGGACGGCAGAACTCTCTCTCTTCCCGTTTCGAGGCTCTTACCTCTTTCAT